AATCATCTCTTGATTAGGCATCTCTTTCCCCAATGCTTTGTAAGTTACTTATTGCTATGCAATGACGGATCTGTCTTGAAATATAAAGTATACTTGAAAGACAAATTGCAGCCAGGGATGGAAATGCTCGCCATCTAACCATCTCCTTATCATCACATTAGAAGTCACAGCTCACTCAGCTCCAGAGGTCACACAAAGCCAGAGGTCACTGAGACCAAAATTCACCCTTTCCCCTCTGGGAGAAACAGAAATTGGAAGGAGAAAAAAAAATTATTTACATTCATTTCCTGAGGCTATGAAATTTACAAGATAGTAGAGACGTGTTGTCTCCTTAAGGAGGCTGGATTATTTCTGTAAAGAATAGTTACATAGTCTTGGGTGGTAGAAGTAATGGGGTCGGTGGTAGAGAAAAGGGTTAAAGAGAGAAGGCTATGGGAGACACCTTGTAGACTAGGCAATGAAATTTTGCTTCTTGTGCGAAAAATAAGAAAGGAGTAGCTTTCAAGTCATAGAACAAAGAACTGCTCAAATCTTTATCAGGGCCCAGTATAAAGTCCATCTGAGATAGTGGGTGTGCATGCAGGCACTCCCTGGACACAGTCCTACTGACCAAACCGATGTATCCTTCCTTACTTTTCTTGTCTCCAGAGACTGCCTCAGCCTATTATTTCCCAAGGAAGGGGTTACACATTACTACCATGGTTACACAATACTACCATGGTTATACATTACTACCATGCTATCAGATTTTTCCTATTCTCTTTGCTTGGCTTTTTTCTAACTTTCGGGAGCTGTTTCTTTGTTCTTAATGTATGTTTCCAGGCTTTTTTCCTCCTTGGCAACATTCTTACGGCACATCCACGAGGTTCAATTAGATTTCTCCCATCATCTCACTTCCTTCCCACGTGGCAGTGTGATGCTATATGTTTTCTATTGGTGCTTAAACAATACAGATTTATCATCTTACAGTCACAGAGGTCAGAAGTCCTAAATAAGTCTTGTTGAACTAGGGGCCCACGGGTTCTCTTCTAGGGTTCAACGAGACTCAACTGGGGTCCAGCTTGCAGACTCCATCAACAAAACGAAAACCTTGCAGGTAACAGGATCCGTCTTCCCTAAAATTCAGGTTAGCATCGGTCGTTGTTATTTCAACGACCTGGTCCCGGGCCTCACATTCCAAACCAAGGTCTCTTAAAGTATTTTGTCCTTCAGCAGACACAGGTCTCTCCTGGAGAATTCTGGGAAATATAGATGCTCAGTCTTGCTTGAGTGTTGTGATTCTTCAGTGTCAAGTGCTGCTGCATCCTCACCCCAAGACTGCCCCGGAATCTCAACTGAGTCCAGCTCTGCTTCCAACTACTGCCTTCCTGCCCAGTCCTTGCATCCTCACAGGCCCACTCCCCTTCCCACAGAATACATGGTGCTCCTCTTCAGATGGCTCTTTTTTCGCTAAGTACAAATAACATTTCTTGGACCGCAAAGCCTACACTGGCTTGAGATTTGCCTTGTACTGCATCATCGCATTAAATTTTAGGGCTTTAATATTACATGTCTGCAAGAGTTATGGATTCTAAATATTTAAGATTTTAACTTTTTTCCCTCATGATTTAAAGGGGGAAAGGCAACTTCTGAAGCACTTAGGGTAAGCAGTTTCCTGTTTCTGATCTCTTTATAGCAGAAAGGCTCTTGTGAGGTTCGTAATGAATATAATAGGAATCCGACCTAAATCGCTGGATGTCTGTAATTTTTAAAATCCTGTTGCCTCTGTTGTGAAAAAGTCTATAGATTTGTTTCTATTTTGATGATTTTTTAACTTTTATTAGCCTATGAGTTAATTTTTTCTGGAGTCCTAAACATCAGGATTGACTTGGGATAGATGAGGTCTTACCTGGATGGCTTGCTGTCCTTGGGTCATTTTGCTGGAGATAAGATATGAACCTAAACCTTCTCTGGAATGAGACGTAGAACAAATAAGTAAGCAACCTCCTCCTTCTATCCCCATACCACACCCTCAGCCAATCCCATCTCCTCCTTCTCACCAACCCCTCTAGCCTCCACCCAGTCTTCTACTAATACTGCTAATATTGCTCAAATATTCAACACTACAACATGAATGGAGAACACTGTTGGAAATATTTATACTAAAAAATTTAAAGGAATTGCTTCGCCTCCACAAAAATTTAACTCCACCTCACTTCCACAAAATATCTTCCCTCATAATCCATAAATTCTGGTGAAATTAAAATGCTTCAAGTGTTGGGGAAATTATAAAAGAGAAAATTGAAAAGCTGCCTGACCACTTTCAACCTAAAATTGCCTTTATGAAAAGTGAGAATATTTTGGACATGAGACCTTTAAACTTTTGTAGACCCTGTACCTAATGAAACCAGCATAGTTCCAGTATATTCTTATAGTTCAATGTCTTTTTTTTTCTTTATTGTAGCACTAATCACACATTTTTCAGTATCCTTGTTTGATTACAGTCTTTCCCAGTAAACTCCAACACATATTTGTTGATTTCACTGTAGAAATAACAGCAATCATAATGACCAAAGGAAAATCTATGACTTGACACCAGCAGCTGGTGGTACACTTTGTCCAGATTCAGACTCAGGTGTGGATACATTTCATTATGTGATTTTTCTTCCTTACCATTTTGTAAGTAGCACACACCAGAGCTGTAATGTGGTCCCCATCCAACAGTGATTACTGATTTCATTGTAATTTTTCTCTCTGTCAAAACTTCTTGACCTGATATTGAAGCATTCCAAGAATATTTTTGGAAACTCTTTGCTTAAAAGTAGTTCCTTTACAGTTTTCTCCAGGGCATTAAAGAGAATGTTTATTTAGGAAATGACCTCAGAGGAAGGGGAAGCTGTGGTGGACAGCACTGGCTGCCATTTCCTTCCTCTAAGAGCTGATACTAAAGAAGAGATTGGACGTCCTTGAAAAGTGTCTCTTGCTTCAGTTCCTCTGCTGCTTGCTCCTAACTTCCTTATCTTTAAGAAAGCACATTAGCAAAAACAAATGAGAACACAAATAGCCTGAATAGTTTAAGCATTTATTTAGTAGATACACATTGAACTTTATACACTGCAGACATGACTTTTTATCAGCATCCATTGAACACTTATAAAGATTACTCATATAATAGAGAACCAAATAAATTGGCAATTAATTCCTCAAAGCAAAAACCATATGGACCATATTTTCTGACCACAATACATAACAATTTTAATTACACACACACACACACACACACACATAAACACGCGCACACTAAAAAATCTAAGCGAAAAATCAAAACTGTAATACAGAGTATTTAGAAATGAATGAAAAAGAGAACACTTTAATATGGTCAAAGCTGAACTCAGAGGAAAAGTCATAACCTTGGATGATTTTTTTACCTTAATAAAAACAAAAGTAAATGAACTAAGCACATAACTTTCAAAAAGCTGATTTGACAGAAGATAGACAAAGAAAAATATTGCCATGCATAGAAAAAATGGGGTCAGTTGAGTAACCTGAGAACCTGAGTAAATGAAGCTAGTGGAGAAAAATTTAAAAATGATCTGCCATTTTTCTTGTAAATGTGTATCGTACTTTCCCAGGGCATATTTTCAGCACTGCAATACATCCTGACTTCCATGAAGACATGGGAGATGTTCAGTAGCTGTTTAAACTTGGTGATGAGATGATGAAAAGATGTCATTTTTTTTTTTCATTTTTTAAAAAGAACTATAAAATAAATTATTATCTTGTTAAAATTTCAAGGTACAGTTAAGAGTTTCTACTATCCACGGGAAGACTGAGGACTATTTAAAACTCCTTATTAGAAGTGAGAAATAAAACATATTCTGAGGGTCAAAAACACCAGCCGTCATACAAAACACGCAAAAGAATGGCAACCGAGCAGAATCCAAGAGACTGTTACAGGATGTCATGAAACTAGTCTTAGTTTTTTGTTCAAGTTGTTTTTAAGGGTTTTTATTTTGTGATAAATCTGTGGAACACACCTGCTCACTCAGTTTTATGGGGATGCTATTTTGGGCAATGTTTAACTTTCTTTTATTCCAAGATTTATATCAGGCTGTGCTGTGCTGGTCAGTATTTGCTAAAGCTATCAGAGCAAGATAAAGCTACTCTTTCTCCTGAGATTTTCGTCCCTCGGAGACACAGACCCCACTTTCTCCTACTTCCTGCAGACTCAAATTCCAAAGTAGATTGTCTTTCAGCCTTTGTTTTTGCTATAATTGTACACTTTTTGTCTTTTTCAATATTTCACAGGTATCTTAGTGAGATGTAGGAAGGGAGGGGCTGTTAGGGAACATTGGAAATACAAGGCGGATACAATATTATTTGACAATTCTCAACTACGGCATCTTCAAATGTTCTTGGAATGTTCTAATTGATGTTAATAGGTGTTTCATGGTTTAAAATCCCTTTCCATAGATTCACCATAAAAATGAGAAAATTAAAGGCTTTGAGAAGTTCTGAGTAAAGAAGCATGGTTCATTTGAAAAAATCTAAGTTTTTATTTGAATGTACGACACTTTCTCGCAGCTGCCTGGGCCTGGCTCTAGACTGGGACTGACTAATAGGTTTCCTTCCTGGCTCTGTTCTCCTTGCAGCCGCCAGTGACCTGACCAACTTCTGGACTTCCGTGGTGCTCTTTTGCTTTTTAGCAAAAGTACTTGGCACCAGGCTATTTACCTCTGTTGTGATCTTCCCACTGATTTTATTTTTCTCTCTTTAATAGCAGAGAAGACTAACTCTGACAAGCTTCTACCATGTACTATCCCATCGGTTGCTTTAAATATGTAACCGAGACGCTGGGCTCTTCCTCTTGATGGAAGCGTGTGTATGTGTGTGCGTGTGTGTTTGGTGTATAGAATTGGGGAGGAAAAGTGGTCTGTGTGATTCGCCCTATCGGTAGCCAGCTGGACATCTACACATGGACTCTCTTTGCAGCCACACTGCCCACACGGATGTCTGTTAGCGATGGGGGTAAAAGAAGTTCTAATCTTTACGTTCTGGAGCCCTGAAGAAGGTTCAATCAGTTTTTTTTTTTTTTAAATTTCAAATTCATCATGATAGAATCCACATCCTACAGCATTGGTGGTGAAGTGTCTGGCACAGCTCCCTGGTTTAGTTATACATGCAGCATCCCTCACACTGGGTATAAGGGTGTTCCCTCACACTGTGCAAAATTTTCCCCCAAATACCATTGTTCTTCATATTAACGCTTTCCTCTCCTTCCTGTCCCCTCACCAAAGTCTGTCTCCTGAAACTTTCATCTCATCCCCATTCGGAAACTGTAGCCCTTTTTCCAGCCATTTCTTGAGTCTTGGAATCGTTCTTGCCATTTCTGCAGACAGGCAGGAGGAGAGGAAATGCCGTGGCTCCTAAAATCTCTCTCCGTGTGTGAGTAAGCATCTGTGGCAATCTGTGCTATGAGGAACATCTGCCTTTTGCTCTGATATCTGGACGACTCCAGATCTTTAAGGCACGCTAGAAATCTTGCATTTGGTGGGCTAACTGCCTGCCAATACTTGATGTTTGCAAAAACTTTTGAGTCTCATTTTGCAGAAAGGGTATTTTTTTCTCCTCTCTAACATTGGCTCAAATTAAAGTTCCTGTTCCAGTTAAATATTTCTGTATAAGAAATCACTCCAAAACTTAGTGACTTAAAAAAAAAAAAAAACCAACTACATTTATCTTGCTCATAAATCTATAACCTGGGCAGGGTTCAACAGGACCCACTACTTCTCTGCAATGTCAGCTGTGGAAATATGTGGTCTTTCCACTGGTCAAGGCAGAAGCTGCAAGGACTTTTTTTGACCTAGCCTAGATGTCATGCAGTATCACTTCTGCTATATTCTATTGATCATATATGACCAATTCTGATTCAATGTGGCAGTGGGCTACACAAAAGCAAGAATATCCAGAGCAAGGGATCGTTGGAGGACCCTTTTGCAAAAAGCAAACTGCTTTTTTTATGTGAATTAAATTTGCATAGGAAGTGACACCATAGCATCAAATTGCTTCACTAGATTTTCCACCAAAAAGGAGAGATCAGGACACATGTTCTTTTATGCTCCTTCTATCCACTGTGTTTTTACTAAATGCAATATTGAATTAGAGGCAAAGAGCATTTGTAGTCCGACATTCCCTTTAACAGAACGGCTGTCATTTATTCACCCTGGCTCTCAAAAAATCCATCTGACTCTGTACATTCAGTTTTGTACATTGTATCAGAGAGGGGAAATTCTGGATGCTGGCTTTAAAATGAGAGTAAGGCATCCAAACTACTGTTGAAACAAGCAGCCATCCTGTTTCAGCGCCCAACTTCACGCTGAGCGGTAACAAAAGGAATAAATGGAGACTAATGATGCTTTGGTTTGGGAAATGATGCTTACATGCACAGGATGCATCCACTTAAGTCTTTAAAAAACCAATTGTTCTAATGATTTTATTGCTCTGTAACAAAATAAATAAAACTGACATTGATTCCAAGGTCATTGTGAATTGAAGTTTAACCATATTAAAGCCTACTAGGATGCAAGTTTGAATGAGGAGGAAGGCATCACAGTATATTGTATTCTTGTAAACATTAGTATAAGTATAGAGTAATAGAGACTCCTTTAGTTGATGCTAAATAGGCCCCAAGTTCCTCTGCTTTCAAAAGGCTGAAGCATTAAGGATGCTTCTTCTCCATTTTACATTTGCTAGAGTATAATCTACTGCCCTAAAGAAGAATGAATTCCATTTGGCTACTTTTCTCCTAAGATGCTGTTGGTTCTCCTCCATGTTTCTGGTTCTCTGCGAGGTGGACTCAGCCTTCAAGAGGGAGTCCTACAAGATGGCATGAGGGAAAGATGCTGCCCCTAATGCAGAGAAAGTAAAATGAAAGCGAAGCTCATCATTGAGGCTTTTTGCCACCTTCTCTTCCCCAGTTCCATTTGCTTGGGGAAAGGACTTCATTACTGAAAGGGCTATATAATCTTCAATAAATAACGGCTCTTTGTCCCGCCTTACTCCCACTCTGTCCTTTGTATCTATGCTTCGTATTCTGCTCTGTCACCTCTGTTGGTCACTAGAGCAGCAGAGGGGACTGCTGTCAGCTATCTTTGGGCAGATCAGGGCTTTGCAGTTGGTGCCACGTCAACTTAGCTCTCACATCTAATGCACACCATCAGGATTTACTTGAAGGACAGGAGAGACAGCATAAACACAAAGTGAGCGGGCCTGAGGGAAGCTCTGGAATACAGGGGGCTAGGAAGTGGGACTTCCTGGTGTTCTGCAGAGACTGCTTGTGGTCTCGAATGTGATGACGCTCATTGGTCGGTACTGAGGACAAAGGTCTGGAACCAGAATCACAGTTGGCTACATAGACCTGAACCTGGCACTGGGGCCACACCACAAACCGGAGTGCACTCCAGAGGGTTAACTCACACCACATGGGCAGGAAGGTAGTTGAGAGCTGGGGGACAGCTGTGGTTACTGCCCTGCTGCTGCCACCAGGTAGGATCCTCCACTCTGCCAGTGACGCTCTCAGCCTCATCACCCCTTGGGCAGCTGGGTATGCTATGTGATAGACCCTCTGTCTTGTGGCTGTTACTCCACAGTTTCAGGTCCTTGAGTCTTGTTTCATTGTTTCCTGGGTGGCCGGATCAGTGTGACAGCTCCTCTGGGTTGACACAGTGTGAGATGAGGCATCACAGCAGAGTTTGCCTACTGCAAAAGGAGGAGGGGCCAGCAATCAGATATTTTCTAGGACATCCAGGGGGACGAGGCCTCTCTTCTTTCCACTGAGGACTCTGATAAAGCCATCTTGTTCTTCTTCAGAAGTCAGGCAGATCTGAATGCCAAGAAAAAAAGAAAGAGAGAGAGAGAAAGAGAGAAGGAGAGAGAGAGAGAAAGAGAGAGAGAGAGAGAGAGAGAGAGAGAGAGAGAGAGAGAGAGAGAGAGAAAGAAAGGAAGAAAGGAAGAAAGGAAGAAAAAGAAAGAAAGAATGAAAGAAAAGAAAGAAACAAAACAAAACAAAACAAAACACAAAAAACCCAGAGCGTCAGCAAGAAGGAAGCTAAAACCTGCAGCTTGAATCACTGCTGACTGAGGTCAGTGGGGCATCAAGCTGGAAAAGGGAGAGAGAGCTGTGTCAGGGTGGAAAACTGTGGCTCCGTGAGAAAAAAGGTTGATAAAAAATTAGGCAGAACCCTGGGTTTGGAACTAGGTCCAGGCCTTGAATGTTTTCTGAGATCCAGCTTGATGAATGAGGATCAAGAAAAGCTTGAGAATCGACTATTTTAGGAAGCAGTGGTAGAGTGGAAAACTTCCTTTCATTCAGAGGCGGGATGGAAAGATCAACTCAGATGATTAATTATGGGTAGAAAGGGTGGGAGGTGAAGGAGAACCTGAGGATCTCTTGGGTTGCAGGGCAATGAACAGGGTGGCTAACTTGTCTTGGTTTGCCTGGGACCTTCTCCATGTTAGCACTGAAAATTCCACATCCTGGGAAACTCCCAGTCCAGACGAACTGGATGGTTCATTATCCTAGCAGATATTTTACTCATCAGGCCAAGTCAAAGATAACGCAATTGTCTAAGCACCCTTAAATTCCCTGCTTTCTGCGTTTACACATTCATTTATTCATTCACTCATTTGACAAATTTTTATCGGATTCCCACTAGGAGCTAGACACTATTCTAGAAGTTGGGAAACTAGTGGAAAAAGACATATCTCTGCTCTCATAGAGTTTATTAAGCAGAACTGGGAAGAGGACAGACATTTCATTGAGTAATTTCATGTGTGATGAGTGCCGGTTTTAATCACTGATTATCCAGTGAACAACATTTAGTAAACTGACTGACAACATACATTAATACTTTTGAATTAATGATGAGTAAAGAAAAGGGTGAATCTATATGGCAATCTGATCTAGCCTAAGACATAAGAAAAACCTCCCTGAAGAAGTGAAGTTTAAGCAGAGAGTGGGGCATTGTGAGAGAAAGGAAAAAGAGAGTAGAATATGAGCAGCGTCCTGTATCAAAAGACTGTGGTACTTCGGAGTGACTAGCTAGAACAGTATAGCTAGAACAGAGAGATGGAGGTGGTGAATAGTGTAAGATAAAGCCGGAAAGGTTGACAGGAAAGGATGTCCAGAAAGCCCTGCTAAGTCCTACTAAGTCCATTAGCCGACCTTCTAACCTCTCTTGTTGACTGAAATTGGGTCATAAGCCAATGATTAAAATTCAGTCAATTCAGTTAAGATTTACCTAAGTCATGGAAGGTAGAGATGGACAAGAGAACAAAAATCAGGTCTCTGCGGTATGGGAAAGGGGCAAAAATGACTGTTGGTATTGACCACCTGTTGGGTATTAAAAGATTTTAAGTGGGGAAAGGAGATAGATCAGTTTAAAGGAGTTCTTTTTCCTCTTCTCTCTTATCTTCTCCTCTTCCTGCTCTTCCCCTCTTCTCTTATTATCTGTTGTCATTCTTTCTTCTCTCCCTTCCTCTTTCTCTCCCTCTCTTCCCTCCTTCCTCACTCCCTCCTGCTCTCTTTCTAGACAGAAGACTTCTAAAGGCTGAACCAGTTTTCTTCACGCGACAGACCAATCCCGACCTGTCCACGTAGCTTGCTGACAGCAGAGTGGACCTGACTCGGGTACTTCATGTGTGCAGCAGAGGTGAGCTGGACATATCAATGCCGAGGTGGACGCAGCCTGTGCAGAGCAGAGGCACTCCACATACTCGGCATACCATTTCCGCCAGCCCAGAGCTTCCCTAGCTATCAAGCCCAGCTACAGCCATCCTGTCAGCGTCACTTAGAGACTCTGCATTCCTAGCATGAAACAGATGGTTTTCTAGCTTAAAAGATTATGCCATTTCTCCCCCAATCTCATGCCCCAGAGCCTAGACTCTTTGCTGGGTTGCAGGTTCAACTTGGTAAGTTTAACACTAAACATTCAATCTTTAATCTTCTAGTTTTTATTAAAATAGTTGTTTTTATTATTATTACTTTAATACCACTCATCCATGTTTCTGCTCTAGGTTCTGCATTTGTAGCTCTACTACTCTCCTGTTTTCACTCCCTCTAGTTCTTAAAGACTATGAGAGGGGACTGGATTTTCTACTCTCTTATTTCTATCTGATATCTGGTTGCCAACCCACTCCCTGGCCTCAGCTTCTTCCCCTGTGCTGCTTCAGATTCTGCTGCCTGACAGTTAAGTGCTCCTACTAGCTCAGTCCCATTTTGGTGCTACTTGGCTAACGTCCTATAGTCTAACTGACTTCCAGGAACATACATATACTATTGACATCTAAGGTTGTCCCCTGCATTACCTCAAACTCATTAACATTCAAATGTACTGCCATTTATACTAGATGAGAAATTATTTTATTAAAATTTTTTTTTTTGCCTAACATTCCCAGACTGAATCTTCTCCTCAAAATACTTATTAAAAGATAGAGGGTTAGAGTTGGAGAAAAATGTCATAAAACTAAATGCCAAGACTGATGGCTATTTCACAAGCAGATTGGAATTTCCATAAGACCTTTGGAGCTGAACTCAATTGATGACTGAAACAAGTTGTACTGCTGGATCAAGGATAAATCTGTCGGTCTGAAAGAGAACTTCTCCTCCACGGTCTATTCCAAGTTCAGAGATTCAGCATCTTCCCAGAGCAGAAAATTGGGCAGCCATTTCTGTTACTATGGGCTCTACTTTCTGATTTAGTCAAAATATACTTTTTCCTTCCCACACTACTCTCCTGTCAATGCCTCTCTTTCCACATATATTTGGAGACCGTGGTCCTCCAAGAAAAGGGAATGGCAGGAAGTAGGGCAAATTAGAGGTGGCATAGGTGTCTTACGGGAGGCAAGCTTCCAGCAGATAAAATACAGTGGGTGGGGATGGAGACAGAAAGACCGTGAGGGTCTTGCATGAAGGAGAAAGTAATTTTTTTTAATGAATTCCAGGAGTTTAGAATGTTGCGGGAAGCAATGGTGATAGAAGCAAATTCTAACTCAACCCAACAGACCAACATTGGATAAATGCCTCTTAGATTAGAGAAGTTAGTATGAATCAGGCATAATTACCTGCTCCTCCAACAGAGTACACCTGAAAACATCTGGATGGATCCTGAGCTGGACCCACACTGATGCACTCATCTTTGCAGCTGGGAAACCTCAGCTCTGCATTGATCACTCCTTGTTCTAGGATAAGTAAATCACTCGAGGCAGACACTGCTGGTTGATATCAACAGTCATTTCTGTTCTTCTTCCCATGCAGTAGAGTCCTGACACTTATTCTATTGTTGATCCTTATGCTATGTGACTCAGGTAAATCCTAATTGTCCAAGTTTGTTTCTATTCTTTTTGCCAGTTAGTCTCTTAGTGGTTCCCATGGACTCAGTTCCAGCCAATGAAGCAGGATGGGAAGCTGTGTTCTCTTCTAAAAAGAGATGGATCAGGAAGAAAATCTCTCTCCTTGTTTGGAAAGAATTCTTGGAGTGGCTGCAGCCATTTCTGACCATGAGGGGAGGTGGCTAATATTTCAAGGATGGCAGAGCAGAAGGGTGGAAAAATCTGGATCCCTGACCATGGGATCAAGCTGCTGAATAATGAATCGAAGAACTTGTTTGTATCCAGACCTCTTATTATAAGAGTGAAATATACCTTTTGAGGTTGACTCAATTTATGATGTGTATTAGTTCACTATTGCTGTCATAACAAATTAATGAAAACTTAGTGGCTTTAAATAACATAATTTATTACAACATGGTTGTAAGCCCGGTGGATTTGGCTAGTTTTCTTTGCTCTGGGTTTCACAAGGCCAAAATCAAGAAACCAACAGGCCCTATTCTTTTCTTTCCTTTCTATTTTTATAGGAGATAATTCAATTCCAGATTCATTTAGGTCATTGCCAAATCCATTTTCTTGTGGTTGTAGGACTGAAGTCCCTATTTCCCTGCTGGCTGTCATCCAGGAGTCATTCTCAGCTTCTAGATGCCACCTGAATTCTATGACTTGTGGCCCTTTCCTAGATCTTCAAATTCAGTAAGGGTGGGATGAGTCCCTCTCACACTTAATCTTTCTTCTGCCTCATCTCTCTTCTGCCCTCTTCTGCTGTGTCTTTCTGATTCCAGCCAGATACATTTCACTGCTTTTAAGGGCTCAAGTAATTAGATTTGGCCAACCTCGACAATCTAGGATATTTACTGTCACGGGGTTCATAACCTTAATCACATCAGCAATGCCCCTTTTGCATGAAATCTAGATTTGTTTTCTATGGCTGCTGTAACAAATTACCACAATTTTAGTGGCTTAAGACAACTCAAATTTATTATCTTGCAGTTCTGGATATCAGTTGTCCTAATATCAAGGTGTCGGCTGGGCCGTATTTTTTTCTGGAGACTCTAAGAGAGAATCTTTTTCCTCATCTTCGGCTCCTAGAGGCCACCTGCATTCCTTGGCTCCTGCCCCCTTCCTCCATCTTCAAGGCCAACAGCATAACATCTTCAAATCTGTCTCTCTGAACTCTACTTGTCTTCCTCTTATAAGAACTCCTGTGATTACACTGGGCTCTCCTGGATAATACACACTACTCTCCCATCTCAATAGCTTTAACCACATCTTCAGAGTCCCTTTTGCTATGTAAGATAACATTTAAAGTTTGGGAGATTAGGTCATAAGGCTGTTATTCTGCTTACCATGAGATAAATGGATCAAGGCTATTACCAGAAAACATTAAAAATATTGCAGAAAATATGTGTATATGTCTGAAAAAATAACTTCCAGATATATTGAATGTAGTGAATTGAAGGAAGACTTGGTCTTAATGTTTTAAGGAGAGAATCT